GTATTTACATCAACAAATCTTACATGTTCTCCTTGTATGTTGNATCTTTATATTTGTTTAATCATGCAGTGTATTCAGTTGGTCAAAACACAAGTACACCCCCAATGTCATCTTGGGCTAAAGTTCATCATTTAATTTAACATATGTTCCGGATTTGCCCATGAGATCATCAGAGAGGTCTTTGTAATGAACGAAGAGGTTTCTGCACTCCTTTGGTCGCTGCGACTCGTCCACTGAAATTGCAAAACCAGTACCATGGTCAGGAATGGATTTCATTAGTGCCGACTGCTTCTCTGAAATGGGGAACATGGGGTAAATTATAAACGAAGAAATAAGTCATTCTAAAGAGCAGTTATAATAACCCAGTCTCATTCGAAGTATTCTCATCAATCGACCAAATTGGAGGTAATCATGAGATTTTCTTTTAAGTAACCTTGTTTTCTACTGTTCTTCCTTGACCAAATTGTATTGCTTATAGTAGATCATAACATACTCTGGGTATAGAAAGTGAGGTATTTGATCAGGTGAAGAGTGAAAATATTCACAAATAGGCTTCAAGATAACTGATACATTGTCGATTTCCTGCCAAGCATATTTATGCTTACACTCAGCATTGAATGCTCAGAGCAAATATGCCTCAAGTAGATTAAAATTAGCTTTCCTGGGACAACAGACTGTAAAGACTTTCAGAATGGGTGCATGTTTTGCTAGAAGAATTGACCTTTTCTTTGCCCAGAAGAGACCGTGTGAAACCAGGGTAGAAAACGTTTGTATAAAATGAAAACTCACGCCTTTACTACCTTCTCAGATCTTGAAAGCAATCACCTACAATTATTTATTTATAACAAATGGCAGGCGTTTTGATAGTTATCATTGCCCCTTTAGTTGACTTCAGGCTTCACAGAGGGAAGGAGGAGTAATATCAAAGTGAGAAGAATTCGGGAGGGAGAATAGAAGAGTGATTCACAGATGTAAAATAAACGGACAGACACAAAGGCTCAGAAAGGGTAAGATGAGTACTGTGGTAGTTGTCGAATATGACATCAGTGGGGGTGATGGTTGTTTGAAGTGAGAAGTCAACTGCCGGTTAATAGACATAATTTTTGTTATTTGAATCGAATTCCTTTTTAAACTAAAGATTTGTTTTTGTAGTTACAGGGCCCCTTTGAGTCTCGCACTGAGAATTCTAATAATTGCATATCTCGCAAACGAAGAACTTGCAGAACCATACACTGGCAAACTATTCTGATGATATACTTCTTCAGCTAAAGATTGGAATACCTTTACCCCTCCTTAGTGTCAAGATACTGCTTGGCGGTTATCTCTCATGAAGGGCCCAATTGTAAAGTATGGATTACATTGTATCATTAAAATACGAAACACTGTTTAAAAGATGATACCACACATTTCCTCGAATGTCATTTTCACGTTGCCACCGTAGGATTCTGGCATCAAGTCCTTTAAGCCAGGAAGGGCATCAAAAGCTCGATTCATATCGGTGCCCACCATCATTATCTATTAAAACAACCAACCGATTTAATGATATTCACATTGACATTCTCATTAGGTACAGGAGAACAGACTTACTCGTGATTTAATTTTTTCATTCAGCCAT